GCTGAGAAAGCAAATATATAAACAAATTATCTTAAATTATATCTCAAAGGCAAAAATAAACAGAGTTGGCAAAAATCCAGTATGTGAAAGAATAATACACTAAATAGCTCCTGGCATCCCCACTTCTATACTGCCAGCGACCACTAGTTATCAAGTGTTTCGAGGTGACTACAACTCACAGCAACCCTATGAAAAATGGCTCTGAACCTTGCCCTATCCTGTGCCATCCTTATCATCCCTGATATACTCGAGCCCACTGCTACAGTCTCTATGTCCATCCATCCTGTTGAGGGTCTTTCTCTTTTGCTAGAGTCTTCCTTTTTTAATCTCCTAGCAACTAACCTCTGCAGCATTATCCCTCATAAATGGTCAACATCATCACCACCAGAGCTGCTACTGAAGCTAGAACTGCCTTTTCTCACTAACTTTCAGAGGTACCTGCTAAATTAAAAACAAGACACACTCAAATTGATTGTAAAATGGTACAACCATTCTGGAAGGCAGTTTGGTGCTTCCTCAAAAAGCTGAACACAGAAATTCCATATGACCCAGCTATTCCACTGCTTGGAATATACGCAAAGAAAATAAGAACAGAGGTTAAAACAGACACTTGTATACCAATGTTCATAGAAACGTTATACACCATTGCAGAAACATGGAAACAGTCCAGATGTCCAACCACAATCAAATGGATTGAGAAATTACCATACATTCATACATGCAATACTATGCAGCATGCAGGAACAATGATTTCATAAATTATTACCTAACTTGGGAGGGAGTGGAGAGCATTACGCTGAGTGAACTAATTCAGTCCCACAAATGTTGTAAAAAAACCATTAGTGTACAATGAGTATAAGTATTGAAGGAGGGTATGGTGAAAGCAGAGGGATGAAGATGTGCAGGGGGTGGGATTTATTGTAGGGTTGTACAATTTGATGGGGGGGGTGAGGGAAATTGGATCTGGTGTGAAAAACAATGTATTAGAATTTTGTAAATAAACTAGTATGATAATAAAAAAATATAAAAATACACCAAATTAAAAAAAAAAAATCCCACATAAGTGCTGCAGAGTCAGTACCAACTCACTGCTGACCTTTCAGTGGGTTTTCACAGGCTGTAAATCACAAAGGAAAAAACTGTTCCTTTCTCAATCCTTGAGCAAATGGTGGATTTGAACTCCCAGAAAGGTACAATCTTTTGGTCTGCAGTGTAATTCCTTACAGACTACACCATCAGAGCTAAATAAAAGCTAGGGATATAGTTGCTGGTACTGCTGGGCAAAAGAATGGTGTGTTGTCCATCAGCATTCATGAGGTTTGGTCCCATGAACCCTGCAGATACCAAACTCTCAGGATGTTCAAGTTCTTTATAAAAGATGTGTAATATGTGAATATAACCTATGCACATTCTCTTGTCTAACTGAAGTCATCTCTAGATTGCCGGTAATGCTTAATGCAATGGAAATCTCATGTAAATACCTCTTTTCTCTCCTTGGCCTCTGAGGGATTGACTTGGACACTTCATTGTTCCCTATCCTCAGAGAAATAGAGTGACACAGTGATTGCAACAAGTGGCTTAAGCATAGCAGAGATTCTGAAGGCTCAGAAAGGTTTCAATCTACTACGCACAGGGATCACTATTAGTTAAGAGTCAACTCAATGCCATCTCACAAGACCAACTTATATACCCAAAGTTTACATATTCACCAACCATGGATGTGAAACGCTTCCTTTATCCAGATTAAATACATTTTTCTACAGAGTGGTTAAAGTCTATACTACATGAGTTGTTTCACTGATTTTATTAATTAGCCAGGGCATCTGCTATTTTCCAAATTAAGCTCAAGAATGGAAAAATAAATTTTTAAATTCTAAATCATTACCCTAAGGAGCCATAATACATTGGGCAAAAGTGCTATTAAGAACCTCTTGAAAATGCTAAAGAGTAAGAATGTCAATTTAAAGGCTACAGTATATCTGATCAAGTCATACTATTTCAATTGTTTAATATTCATATGAAAGTTGGAAAATCAGTAAGGAAGATCAAAGATGCTTTTAAATTGTGGCATTATAAAACAGTATTGAGTATCTCATGGAGCGGGGGGGAATCAAACCAAAAAACTCTATCTTGGAAAAGGTGCAACCTGAGTTTCCCTAAAGGGCAAAGACGGCGAAACTTTGTCTTACATACTTTTGAGCATGTGGTTAGAAGAGGCCAGTCCTTAGAAAAAGATCCCTTAGCATGGTAGAGATTGTGAGGATGGTACAGGATGTGGCAAGATTATGATTTGTTGTTCAAAAGGTCGTTATGAGTTGTAGTCAACTTCATGGCACAGTGTTAAGCATTAGATTGGTAATCAACAGGTCAAGGGTTGAAATGTGTTGTTTCTACAGAGAAAGACAACACAGTCTGCTCCTCTAAAGATTTACAGCCTCAGAAACCCTATCAGACTCTATGACTGAGTCGCTTTAAGAATAAGGCAGTGGAATTTTTGGTTTATCTCATTCTCATACAAGTTAACTACTGGAACATGTCTTTGCTACACTAAGAATGGCTGACACTGACAAAATGTGTAAGAGAAAAAGTCAGTAAAATCAGAACTACATTTTAAGTTAATGGCTAACTGGAGCAATGGGATTGGGTGTGTCGCAGTCAGTGAGACTAGCTCAGGATAGGACAGGGTTCAGAGCTACTGTGTGAATGGCAATCACTATGAATGGCAGGCAACTCGATAACACATAACAACAAAGGCTAATAATGTAAGGTTTCTATCATACTGTTCTTTTGAGAGGATCAACAATAATTTATCCTGAATTAAAGAATTATGTAGAATTCTTACATAGAGCATTTGGTTTTGCTGTTATTTGCTATCAAGCTGATTCTGACTTCTGGAGACCCATGTGTGCAGGGCAGAAATGGCCCCCAAGGCTTTTAAGGTTGTGACCTTTCAGAAGCAGATTGCTAAGTCTTTGTTCTGAGGTACACTGGGTAATATGAACCACCCAACTGTTGGCTAGGAATAGAGAACTTACCTACTGGAAAAATGCAGGAATTCTACATAGAGTATTATTACTGTTTATTGTTGAACTGACTCAAAGCTGACCCTCCAGTGGCTTTTCAGAGACGGCTAAATGCATGAGAGGAGACAGCTCCTCTTCAGCTAAGCAGCTGGTGGATTTGAACCTCGTACCTTTGGCTTGGTAGTGTTACATGAAACTAAAATGAAAGCGGAATCATAGAAAATGTTCTTTTATCTCTAGCAAAACTACTTAAGGAAATGAGAAATAAGCTCAAGATTCCTCACTTCAACTAACACCTACACAGATGGCATTATCATCACAGGCAAACTAACACAATTTCTACATTTAATTTCTAATGGCAAGAAGGATTTCCATCTGGGATTTATCTGCATTAAAGTGTTAGCTTGGCACAATTTCACCATTTAATTGAAAGGTCACTTTTGGTTTAAGAAAACGTCTCAATAAAACATAACATTTCATGTCTTTCATTAATCCTATCCTATGTGTTTTACTAAGCGGTGAAATTATCTCAGATAGTCTATAATCTTCTCACAATCCCTAATAAACTACTATCATTACTATTTTAAAGCCTCTTGCACCTCTCAAGACTGCTTCCATTTCTCAAAGAGAAGTTTTACAAATATGACTATCCTCCATAAGTAAACGAACAACTCCATAATAGGTCAAATTCCTTCACATAGAATGTTAAACCAGCAGCTGGCACAGTAGCTTTCAGATATATAAACTCACAGTTTTATATCTGCCAACTAACCACAAATAACGTCACCAGTTATTTCGAGTGTAATTTACAGCCACTAGAAAGCAAGCTCGATAAAACACCTGAAGTCCTGGCTTTTCGCTCTCTTTTCCTTTAATAAGGTGATACCTGAAAGTCACAGCAGTCAGTCAGTAATGAATTGAAACACACAAGAAAAAGGCTATACAGAGCCTGCAGTTGTCAAAAATGCCGGCAGCCAAAGTTGCAGCGCCCTGAGAGGATTACACTGAAAACAGAAGCCCATCTGTCCCCAGAACAGAAAGAAGTCCACCAGGAAAGGCAGCTGGCGCGTCTGGGAGGTGGCGCTGGAGGAGAGCGAGCTCGGCGGTGTCCACCCAGAGCCGCGGGCAGCAGAAGGCGAAGGCGCAGGGCTGGCTCGCAGGGAGGGTGGGGGCGCAGGTGGGCAGGGGCCGGCCGCGCGCAGGGCACCGCCAACTATCCAGGGCCTCGGCCGCGCAGCCGGGAAGCCTCTCAACCCACAGACGGACGCAACAGCCGCCAGAGCAGAGCCACGTCGGAGAAGAGGAGCGCGGCGGGAAGGTGAGCGTCCTGCACACCCACAGGGAAGCTGACAGCCCGGGATCAATAGGCGGCAGGGGCTCCAGAATGGCCGCAGCGCGCCTGAGGGGGGTCGCCCTGAGGAAGCGGCGCTGGGCGCTGCCCGCCACCAACGAATGACTCCCTCCCTCGCTCGGATCTCGGCGACTGGATACTCACGTAAGGCTGGTAGAACTTTGAGAGCCGAGGCTTCCCGTGGTTGTTGAAAATGAGGATCGCCTTGATCATGGCTGGGCCGGGCCGACCGGGTGGGCACTGGGGGCCAGGGCGGGGGCGGGCGCGCAAGCCTCGCCTCGGGATCTTGCCAGAGATCCTTCCCCACCCGCCCCCTCCAGCACGCGCGCGCGCGCGCTCCCGAGCCGCTGGGCTGGGCCGGGTGGGGTTGGGCGGGGCGAGGCAGGCGCGTGAGGGAAGCGGAAGCGTCCTAGAGGCGCGCCTGCGCAGACGGTGGCGAGTGAGCTATCGGCTCACTGATACACTCTAGAGGATTGTGCTGCAGGGGACATAGTCACTGCGTTATTAGCTGTCAGAGGCTTGTGACAAGGCCTCCCTAAAGGACTATCCAGGGAGTCAAACTTATGCTGTTGATTTGGGCGCACCTACACGCTGTATCACATTCGCGAAGCTTCTCGGATAAAGCCCGCCCACTGCACGTGCTCAGTCGCCACTTCCGGCCTCACCTCCCATCTGGGAAGATGGCTGAAGAATCTGAGGTTGTGCTCCCGCTTCCTACTTCCTCTGCCGCAGGTGGTGAAGGACTTACAGAAGTCTCCCCAGAAACTGTCACCCCTGAGCCTCCTTCTTCTGCTGCCGTCTCCCCGGGGACAGAAGAACCTCCTGGAGACACCAAGAAAAAGAGTAATTTTAAGAGCATCTTTATTTCTGGGTAGAATGAACTGCATTCGATTGGACATAGCAGCCAGTGTTTTTGGTTTTGAGTTGGTGTTTTGTTGTTTGTTTTTTTTTTAAAGCTGAGTTAAGCATCTGTTCCAGACTTATTTTTTGACCATTCAGTAGCGCATGCCATACTTAATTATTTGAATAGCGACTTAAGGTTACCGAGGTTACTGGCAAAATCTGTATTAGAACACGCCTTCTGACTGGTACATTATGTATGTGTTTTCCAAAATATATCCCTAAACCTGAAATTCTTTGACTATGAAGAACGATAAGGGGAAACTAAACGCATAGACATCACCTTTTGAAAAAATGTTACTGTAAGAGCTCTTAGGGTAATTTCATTGCTTCTCAGTCTTTACAGATTGGCAGTTTTCTAGCTGATGTTGTGTACCTTGAGTCAGAACCGACTCATAGCAGACCCTCCAATGGGTTTTCAGAGACAGTTAATTTCATGAGATAAGTTTAGATTGCTCGGTTTTTTCCCTCCTAACAGCTGATAGGGATTCGAACTACTGGCTCTTGGGTTGACCAGTGCAACACTTTATAGGTCGCTATTGTAAAATGTAGAAATTCCTAAAGGGTGTTTGTTCTGGAGCCCTCTTTTGAGAAAAACCGCAAAGAAACCTGGCCTTTGAGGCTACAGTGCAAATGTAGGTGTGGTTATTTTCTGCTCAGTCTCCCAGTTTTTGGTATACATGTTCTCTTATATAGCTGTCTCTCCAGGAGTTGCTGGTCGCCAGAGTGAATTCTTATTCAGGACAGTCAAGCCGTTGTAAGGTAGAACTGCTGTATAGCATTTGTAAGGCTGTGATCTTTCAGATGTGCATCCTGTATCCTGTAGAGCTTTTGCATAGGTTCGATTCTGTTATGAGTCAAACAGCTGCAAATAAGGTTTAGTCAGTTACCAAGTACATGCCACCCAGAGACTCCTTTTACTTCATCTCCTTCCCTTTTATGACAGCCTATACATTTGGGGGAAACTTTTTATTCTATTTGTAGGAAAACAAATCTGTTCTTTCTATAGCTAGTCACTACAGTCTTTCTTCACTTGAGCCTCATGAGTTTTATATTTATTTTTCCCACTTTCCCTTCCAATTTACTATAAGCAAGAGTGCAAAAGTTTTTACAATCTTAGTTAAAAGCTTAACTTAATGACTTTTTGTTAAGATAAATCTGTAACAGAGGCTCAATAATTGTGACTCAAATATGCCCTAGAGCTGGTTTGTCAGGTCTGCCTAATACATCTATAAAATCATATCTCTCCCCCCCCCAAATCAGATTCTCATTTTCTATTAGCATTTGAATTAGCCATCCTTGAAACAGACTGAGGTGGTTGGTATTGTGCTGCCAGTTCTGAAGCAGCACTTCAAAGAAATGTTTGATGTAATCAACTGTATTCTGGTAAATGTTCACTTAGATGATCGAGAATTGTTACTCAAATTTTAAAGGGGAAAGCAGCTTACCTGTGTTGTTAAGTGCCATCGAGTCGCCTGTGACTCATATCCAGGCGACTCATATCGACCTTGTGTACAACATTCCTAAACCTTGCTCTATCTTGTGCCAATCTCACTGTCTCCCAATACGCCCACCTCCATTACCCCAGTTACTGAATCAGTCCATCTCATCGAGAATCATCCTCTTATGCGCTGTCCCTCCACTGTCCGAAGCATGATGTCCCTCTCTAAGGACTGGTCCCTCCTTGCAACATGTTCAGAGAATGTCAGATGAAGCTTAGAATCCTTGCCTCCAAGGAGCAGCCTGGTTTCACCCTCCCTGGGACACACCTGTTTGTTTTCTTAGCAGTCCATCATATATTCAGTACTCTTCTCCAGCACCACAGCTCAAAGGCATCAGTTCTTCTATCATCTGTAGTCATTGTCCAGCTCTCTGATGCATAGCAAGTAATTGCAGACCCTGGCCCATATCGGCGCACTTTTAGTCTCCAGATTGACATCGTTGCTCTTAAGTAAATTTCCTGGCTGCTGATGATGCCAGGATTGTTGATTGGCTAGTCTGAGTGCAGTGGAAGCTACAACTAACTGATCACAGCCAGATACATATTTCTTTGTTCCTTCTCCACTATCACTGCTTCACTTGATTAGTCTTAATTTAAAAAAAGAAAGTGTTGATTGTGGAGCCAAGTAAACTATAACTGTTAAAAGCTCAATCTTTTCACCATCTGTCATGATGCTACCATTTGGCCCAGTGGTGAGAATCTGTTTTCTTGATGTTGAGCTACAGTCCATATTGAAGGCTGCAGTCCTTGACCACCTGCAGCAAGCACTTCAGGTCCTCCTCAGTTTCAGCAACCAGGGTTGAGTCATCTGTGTAACATAGATTGTTGATTCCTACAGCTATAATTACAAGAAATGCCTTTCTAGCTTTTTTCCCAATTGTCTTGATTATTGACTCATAACTAAGTTATTAGGGAATGTGAGTTAACCAGAAACCTTTCAAAACTCAAACTTGGTGCCATCCACTCATTCTAATTGATGGCAGCCCTCCCTAACTAGGTTTCCAAGGTTGCAAGTGGTGAAGGGAGGAAACTGCCCATATTTCTCCCTGTGCGTGGCTGAGATGCATGGCCTTTCAATTTGAACAACATGCCACCAGATTGTGCCACCAGTGTCTCTGTTCATTCTTTTAAATTCCTTCTGCCAAGCTACAAGATAACTGGAGCCAAGAAAATTGAGTAGTTCCTTAGGAAAAGACAAAGTGTGTGCTTTAATGTTTTTGGATAATCTTCAGTAGAATCTTGCTTGCATGTGAAATCAATGAGATTGTTCTATAGTTTCCACACTCTGTTGGGTCACCCTTCTTTGGCATGAGAACAATTATAGATCTCTTCCAGTCAGTTGGCCAAGTGGTTGTTCTCCAGATTTCTTGGCACAACTTGGTGAGCACATCTAGGGCAACATCTGTTAGCTGAAATATGTTAGTTGGTATACCATCTATTCCTGGGGCCTTATATTTTTGCTATTCCCTTTCAAGTGGCTTGAACTTCATCATCACCATAGGCTCTTGCTCATAAGTTGTTTCATTAAATTCTTCTGTGTCTGCCAATTCCTTTTGATACAGTGACTCAGTATATTCTTTCCATCTTCTTTTAATACTTCCTTGATCATTTCATATTCTGCCGAAAGCATCCTTGATTATAGCAACTCGAGGTTTGAATTTGTTCTTCAGTTCCTTGAGCTCAAGAAATGCTGAGGGTGTTTTGGCCCTTTGGATTTTATGACTCCAGCTCCTTACACATTTCATTGTAATATTTTACTTGTCTTCCCTTGCTGCCTTTTGAAATCTTCTATTCAACTCTTTAGTATCTTGAATTCTTCCCTCTGCTTTGGCTTCTCTGCACTCCAGTGCAATTTTCAGAGTCTCTTCTGACACCCATTTTGGTCTTCTCTTCCTCTTCTGTCTTTGT